ACTTGCTAATTGATTTCATGTTTCGGAATTCGAGCTTATGGAAAGAAACTTTGGAACTACACTCTGGACAAAGGCCAGAGTGTGTAAAATTGGACGTAGCCGGACGTTGTCTCAAAGAAGGTTGTGTGAGCAGGGCGTCCCAAAAATATAGCATGGTAACATGTGGCGATGAAATCTCATACCACATTTCTGCCCGATAAAACCAAATGTGGCGCAAGTATTTACATATGTACACTTACATGGATCGGGCATCGCCGTCATTTTCATATCCACCCAGCATGAATTCTCACACGAGCAAGGTTGCTTACCCATCCCGGAGTTTATCCCTCACCTTGCGCTGTGATCGCCCCCCCCCCCTCCCACGTGAATAACTTCCACCTGAAGTTTCAGTATTTTTCTGTTAATTCTCCTGAAAGCACTTACAAGGAAGGTCGTTCAGGGTGTGCCAAGCTTTTTCAAAACATCCTTTACATGATATAGGGGTACATGCGAGAACCACAAAACCATAGTTAATTTTTCCTGAACGGCCCTCAGAATACCAGAAAAGAGGGTCCCTAGTTACACCTTTTTCACCAGTTTTTCTATCAAAGTCTGTTTGTAAGGGTTACTGACGGTCCTAATCATGAATGTGGTACTAGTTTTTCATGCTAGCTCCATTTTGCGCGGATTTTGAAACGTCAACTTGAAATGCAAAAATTTGTCGCCACGAGGAGTCGAACTAGGGACCCCTTTCCTGGTATTCAGAGGGCCGTTCAAGAAAAATAAACCATGCTTCTGTGGTCCCCATGTGTGCCCCATTGTCATGCAAGAAACCATTTAGAAAAAGCTTGGCACACCCTGAACGACCTCCCTTGTTATTGGAGACAGTGCACCGTTTTCAGTCTACACATTTTGTTTAATATTTGACCCCATGTAATAATATATCAGTCAATTCAGCTTTCAACATCAAAGGTTCAAACTCAATTGAATCCATACATAACACAATTTTCATGCATCTACTCATGATTTCATGCTTCCTATGTGGGATACCGATCAGAGTCAACCCTGCGTTGCGCAGTTGGCAACGGCACGTCGAGAGATCCTCAACGCACACTGTATGAGCGGAGACACAGACTCGAGCATGCGAGTGTTAATGTTCGCGCGAGAGAACGTGTCAAATCGGGCGAAACTGCTCAACGTGGCCGTTGAGAACTGCGCAACGCAGGGTACTCTGACACCGATGTTGACCTACTGCGAAAGAACTGATGAACTAGCTGTTCTCGTGACCAGTACCTTTAATAGTATTTCGACGCCCGCTTTAGGCATCCGTGAAATCTGTGCAAGCGCTTCGATCATTCTCCGTTCAATCATTACAATAATGTAATAGTTACGCGTGCAAGGTTAAAGAACGAAAGAAATGAGAGAACTTTTGATTGATGCCTCAAATGACACATGATATTCGCACTCCTGAACCAGCGGCGAAAAGGGCACGACTGTATTCCCCAACCTGAAACAAACAAGTCGAAAATAGGAGCCTTCCCTTTTCATTTCTACGCCAAAATGAACTGTGTACTACTACTACTGATCGTGTTGCAGATATACATTAGATATAAAACATATTAGATATACATGATAGATACATTAGATATTATATATACATGAACTTTCCGCTTGTGTGTAAAATACTGCCCAAATTGTGTTTACTTCAAGTCATGATTCCCATTTTATAACGATTTGGTTTCTGACTAATTATTGTAGCGCACCTATGTACGAGTGCATAGTAATAAATAAATAAATAAATAAATAAATAAATAAATAAAATAAATAAATACATTAGGCAAATGTTCTGTAAATCTAACAGTGCAATTGTAGCGATTTATATTACACTCTTGCACATTTCGCGCAACGCTTTGCTAACAAGGGTGGTTGTTCAGGGTGTGCTAAGCTTTTCCGAAACGGTTTCTCGCATGATATAGGGGCATATGCAGGAACCACAGAACCATGGTCTGCTTTTCCTGAACGGCCCTCTGAATACCAAAAAAGGGGGTCCCTAGTTCGACTCCTCGTGGTGGCAATTTTTTGCATTTCGAGTTGACGTTTCAAAATCCGGAAAAACGGAGTTGGGATGAACAATTGGTACCATATTCATGATTAGGGCCGTCAGTAACCCTCAAGTAGGCTTTGATTGAAAAACTGGTGGAAAAGTTGTAACATCACAGTGGGGCCGTTTTGGTGTCACACCTTCTTCATCAGTGTTTTAATCAAAGTCTTTTTGTAAAGGTTACTGACGGTCCTAATTATGTATATGGAGTTCATTGTTCATGTTAACTCCATTTTGCGCAAATTTTGAAACGTCAACTCGAAATGCAAAAATTTGTCACCACGAGGAATCGAACTCGGGACCCATTTTTTGGTATTCAGAGGGCCGTTCAGGAAAAAAGACCATATTGGTTCCCACATGTGTCCCAATGTCCTACGAGAAACCATTTCGAAAAAGCTTGACACACCCTGAACGACCTCCCTTGTGAGAATTTACCAGAGGTCACTTTGAATGAGGTCCCTTAGTATGTAGCAGTTGTATAGACATTGCAAAAATATACAGTAGCGGTCAAAAATATTCACCGGAATCGCCTCTCGTGCATTCGTTTTTTTTTCTCTTGAAAATTACCTAAAAATCAAATAAACGCGCTTGTTTTTGATGTGGTAAATGCTCATTAAGAATTTTAAAAATATGAAAATAAATAATATATCACTCTCTAGAAGCGAAATGAGAAAAAATAATGCACGAAAAACCGTTTCGGCGATTACTTTAGACCGCTACTGCATTTCATCGTCTCCACGTCCGATAGAAGGCTAATGCATTCTATCAAAACGATAAAGACCTATGACAGTTGTGTCCTCATTCGTCTTTGTTCTCACTTCCGCACCGTTCAAAACGGAATCCTATTGCGTTTCGGCCAAAATGTTCCCAATCTGTCTTTTCCTCATTTTCCAGTCACTTTTTTTTGAATAATTTTGGAACCGTACACATTTTCACAATGGATTTTTCTGATTACTTAATTCATCAGTTTATTTGCATTTCAGAGAAACATTCACTGAATATGGAGCTTATGCTTTTTCTTACAGTGGCTACGATAAGTGGAGTAAGTGTATTCTGGGCTTACTGCTTCTATAAATGAACAATCTGACGAGTTTCAGATCAACTGCGTAGAAACCAAGGATGAAAACCTCACAGCTCGGATTTCGACTGACGTTCACAAACACAAGGTAATGGCGTTCTATTGGCAACATAACTTGAAAGCATTTGATGTAAATATCTTGAATCCAGCGACACCCACTTGAAAATTGCAAGAGCACGCGCTTTGTTCAAAGCACGTCAAGCCAAACATCAACTTTCCGTACTCCAAGATCTGTACTTCATGATACAACCCAAGGAGATGTTGTGTAAACTATCACCTTCAATTTCTAGAATAGGTTTTGAAGGATAATCACAGATGTGGCACTCTCGTGAATGGAAGTCGCCCGACAAGGGCGCTAGGGCCTTGCAAAGTTAGCTGCAGCAGCTGCAATGTTCTCCTCTAGCAGCACCGTGTTGTGTGACGCCCTCTCATCTGTTGCCCTATCTCACCACATACCCTCCTCTCTGCGCTCTGTCTTTCATTGCCTTAGCACAGCCGCGTGGCTAAGGTGCGCAAACCCTCAACTTACCCTTTTCGAAGGACTTCCTTCTTTTCCTTGTTCAGGTTTAGACACTACGTCCCAATGCGTGCCGATACCACTGTAGTAAACCATGGAAGTCATTGGCAGTTACCAGTACCTTCTCGTAGAGAACTCTGTATACAAGCATTTGTAGGTAAACGTTGCTGAGGTAAGGTGTTTACCAGCCTTTGGAGAAAGGTTGTTGGAAAAAATGAAAAAGCAAATTGCGCCAGAAATCGATCGCGCGAGCTTATACTTCAAGAACGTACTGTTGCCGACGCCACTATTGCGCCACGATGCTTTGCTTGGTCACTTCATTGGTAGGGGCGCTTTCGTGCGATGACTTGCAAGAATAGGCTGGTAAAAAAGCTCTCGACACTCCCAGACTCGGAGAACTGTTCAACAGATAGAGAAAGATTTCTAAGATCCTCGTCTCAATACGAGAGCAGCGGTGCACACTTCATTATGAATGGCCCAGTGGCCTGTTGACCTACTTTTGTTAGTCAGTTCGATCACAATTAAAGGCAGGGTCGCGATTAGATCTTCAGAAATCCTCTCTATGAGTGAGGTAGCATGGAGTCAAGCAAAGGAGTCGTGATACTTTTACGACTCGCAAGCAGGGTCAATTCTATGTTGCTACAAGTAGCAACGGGGGGTCGTATTTCGGCGAGTTTGTAGGGGGGTCGCACTAGCTTAGGTTGTAAGAAGTGGCATGTGATGAGAGGGGAGCGGCGCGAGAGAAAATTTGCCGTTTCAGCGCGCGTATACCCCCCCCCCTCCCGCTCGCCGGTAATTTTTTGGGGTAAAAAGTGGGGTCGGAAAGGGGGGTCGTAGGAAACTTTTCCTGCAGGAGCATGCCAGTGTGAACATGAAACCTGTAAAGCGCTATCGATGCTCATGAACCTCTACCGATCGCGTTGCCAATACGTGCCAATGGTCCTGTAGTGATGGAAATTAAAAAATGTGCACCTCAGCCATAGCTATTTTGAAGCATGTAGTGTCACGGCAAAAAATGCGCTTCAGACCACTTTCGGAAAATTGTTTGCAAAAAGCAAGCGCAAAATTCGCTAACTGGGCCCAATGTCTAATTCTAGTAGCCCAGTGTCCAATTCTGATGAATAATCCGTATTTTCCTTCGATAGACAACAGGGAAAGTGAAAGAGTTCCACAACTGCTTTCAATGAACCGTTCCAAAAATCCCGCAGGTTACCCTGAGATCAGCATATTTCTCATCAGAACAGGCCATTTCAATGCATGAATCCTCCTACATAAGGGAATTGAAAAGGCGAATGCAATCTGACTCAATGGCACTGTTTCAGGTCATGGTATACAGCAAAACGTACTGTCCTTACAGTATCAAGCTGAAAAAACTTCTCAATACTTACACAATTAATGATCTGAAAGTTGTTGAGCTAGACAAGCAGAAAGAAATGAAAGCCATGCAGGTTAGTTCTAACGCTTCTACATCTCTTTCTTCAGAAGATTGCTTCATTTCTGAGATGCACATTGCATGACCAATGCTTCCAGGCAGTTCTTAAACGTATGACTGGTCGATCAACAGTGCCACTGCTTTTCATTGGCGGAGAGTTTATAGGAGGGCACGATGAAGTTCGGAAGATCGAAGATCGAGGAGAGCTGCGAAAAATTCTGGAGAAAGCACAAGCGCTGTGAGGCTCCATCAGCTCAATTATCCCAATCTATTTTGCGTGTCACCACTCACCTACCACATGACCCTTTCTTCACCGCTTTTTGCTGTTTTTCAAACTTGTTTTCTTCTACAGTTTTTGCTACAAAGCTTACCATTCAGGTTATGATTCAGGTCTAGGGACACTATTGAAAAACATTACGTGTAGAAATTATCGGTCGGATATGACTATTTCAGGAACAATTGGATACACAGTGATGACAGATACGGTAATGATTTGTGACAGATTCGCACGAGCCCGTTTTATCACGGGTGTAGTTTTTTTTGTAAATTTTCCGCAAAGCACTTACTCTGCCGACCACAATAGTGTATGCCTCCTTATTTTGTTTCTCTGTTGCTCATTTTTTTTGTAATCTCTTAGTAGTAGCAGAAGCTACTTTTCCTCTCCTCGTCACAGCTTCCGCTGCTCAATGCTTTCTTGTAATGAAGAACTTCCTGTAAAGTTGAGTGACATTTTCCAGCAAAAAAAATGCTTAACTTCTTCGTTGGAATTCTTTTATATACATAGAGTTTGAGTAGAAGTGTCTACCACGCCACATCAACATTCAGAGAACTAATAAGGGAAGGACGGTAGGTCCAAATGGCCGTTTGATAACATCTATCTTTACCCGCAGAGCCTTGAAGCAACAACTATAAATGGAATTCGCGGGTAGAAGCGGTCGATGATGAAGTTGTAAATGGCTGTTGACTGCTATCAGAAAAAAAAACACCGGCGAAGCCTTCAAACCAGGGTCCTCTTTCCTTTTGAAATGAGGAGAAGCGTGTCGAACGAGTTGCCTGAACTGGCTTGCTCTGCCTTCATTTATTGCTGGTTTGTGCCAGCAAGTAGCGGTTGTAATCTCATTTGCACAAATAAATTAAATGAGTTAAGCAATTAAAACCAATCAAAAAGACGCAGCGTTAATTTCGAAACGCGGAATAGTTGCAAGCAATCACGCAACGCCCGCATCCGAGCACGCGATTTCCACGGCTGGCAGCAGGCATTTCACTCCCTTTCTCGCGGCTTTCTAGGGTGAGTTTTTTGTTTCATGCCACTTCATATGCTCTTGGCTAGAGCTAATGCATCTTTTCTTTCCATTAGTATTGAAGGCAAAGACTCTGCTGTGACCGTTGCTTTGTCAAGTAACGGCATACATGCGTCAAATGGTGGCACACGATATTTCTTTTTTTGTAATCTTGTAATAGTCTGAATACACCTGTGCGTACTCTGAGCAAGGAGGAATAACATATTCGCAGGTCCTGGACGGCTGGATTTCTATTACAATCACAATAAATTTCATATACACCTTGTTGGCACTTTCCAACTGTTGGGACACCATAAGATCTCATTTCTTTTGTAGTTGATCTGTAACCTACGCGGCCTGCTAGATTTTGACAAGAGATCTGCGGGCCAGTACGGTATATAAGTGTGCAGTTTCATTGTAGTCCAGTTCAATGTCTTCTAATAAATATGCTGCTACTGCCCGTCTTCCGAAGGACACAACAGCTGGCGATCAGGACAACGACTTCAAGGACCACGCCACCTTTGCCGAGACGCAAGAAGACACTCACTTCAAGGACCTGCTGCAGATGATGGCCGCTCAACAGAAGCTCATCGTCCCCGCTGTACAATGCCGACCAAGACGACTGCTTCAATCTCTGGTTCAAGCGCCACAAGGAAGTCTTCGAGGTCGAAGGAATAGACGAAGCGATGAAGACCCGCTTACTAGTCGCTGCGCTCGACGCTCCAACACACACGCGCTTCACTAGTTACAACCTCCCGAAGGAGCCAGGAGAGCTGAACTGGACGGATACTCTCAACCCTGAAGGCGCTATTTGGCACCAAGAAGAGCGTCTCCGCCGCCGCTTCGAATGCTTCCGGATGAGCTTCTCGCCCAACGAGGGCAGCGACATTTCGTCAACTCGCTGAAGACTCGCGCTCTGGAGGCGACCTTCAAGGACATCAGACAGGAAACGCTAGAATGCCTGACCCTGGTGTTCGACTTCCAAGTTACGGAGCTGGCCGACTACCATGTTCGCTTCCTTCGCAAGCTTGACGAAGACGAGAGGATTACTGTCGACGATCTAGCCAAGGAGTACTTGCCTGAAAGTCGGTCATGGATGACTCCAGAATCCTCGAAGCCGTCAACTCATCAGAAACGCAACGTCCAGAGAAAGAAGAAACATCGTCATTCTTCCCCAGTCAAGCCTCGACTTCCGCCATCACCGTGTCCAATCTGTCAACAGCAACATTGGAAGAAGGACTGCCCACAGAACCGCAACGCTACCAGTGCCGCTCAGGAGTCAAGGACTGCGCCACGACGTCGCATCAAGCAGTCATCACAGCGCACGTGGTACCAACGAGCCGCAAACCAGTTTACTTGAGAAGGAACTGTTCTGGAATAAACTCTTAATGACACCATATCCGTTTGGTTTGAACGATAACATTAAAGGCTATGCATGCTTTACGGATTCGCGAGACCAACAGAAGTCAAATAGTCAAAGAAAAGCTTTAAAAGGCTCGTAGGGGAGTACAAACCAGAGTGCATATTCGGCAATGCACGCTGGCTGCAATGTGTTAATATTACCCAGCATGAGTTCTGTTTTTTGTAAAGCCCTAGCGCCAAAATGAAAAATAATAAGCCGTTGTTTAGCCCTCCAACAGCGGCTCATCTGTGACACAGGCAGTCTACTCCATCCTACACACTGAACAGATTCTTCGACACAACTTCTGCTGGGGTTGTTGCTTTATGTTCAGGCTTGAGCCTTATACGTGAAGTAGAACGCTCTGATCGGAAAAGTGGAAAGCTAGTAAGTGTGATCGATGAAGTCGAGGACCTGCTCGCCGCACTTCCTGGACCCCTCGCAGTCAGTATACTGAAGCACATCCTTTGTTGAAGTTACGGGTAACCCTCTCAAAAATGAAAACACATTCATGACTCCGAACAAGTCGATTCTCTAATTCGGTTCGAGCAATATTAATTAGAGAGAGCAACAAAAACATAACGCTCTGTTGGTGTATGATGGTAGCAAAGCGAAAAGCCAAACCATAATTACTGCGTATTAGTAGCAGCTTATGATGAGAGATTGAAACGCGAATGTCTACAACAAGAATTTGAAAAAGTTCAAAACATGTATTCGCATCAGTGATTTTGCCCTACCCTGCCCGTAGCCGGGGCGCCTGCACTCTGACTGGCTTTTTTCAACACAATCTTTAACTGCATTCTAGATATTACGCCTGCTCATAGCTCTGCATTAGTTGCTTGTTTTCAAGCGATCATTTCCATGAGAAATTACAGAAGTTTCAATTTAAGTTTCAAATTCTAGAGAGTTTTCGATGTGATGTAAGATCCGGTTACATTCTAAAATTTTAGAGATTCCGATTCCATTCACCATCCAGTGGCAGAGCTATAGACTTTGCATAATTTTTTGGACACAATGTTGACCAACAGAGACCTTCAGTACTTTTGAGTTTCGCAGTGTGAATAATGTAGTGTAAATAGGTTATGATTTGCTAACTGTCCTAATAATTATTTATTTCGGTATTTACTGCTATCATCTATTGTAATAAATGTTGAGCTTGACCTGGTCGGTGTCAGGACACAACCATTTCGTAGTCACGAGAGCGTTCTATATTACCGTACAGCTGGATAGGAAGATTCCATTTAGTCAATCGGAGAAATTTCAGTCATTTTTTATTCAATGCCATGAAGATTTCCAGAAATTCCTTTGGAGGCATGAAACCTGGCTTGCATCGTGCCAACCACTGGCACTTCGCCAATATAAAAAGATAGCCAGCTCGCTTGGCACGCTCGCTTACGGACTTTAATTTTTTCTGGATACCATTCCAGAAAAATGGCCTTGTTACCATACCAGTGCCTCACTATTTATGAGTAGGAATCTGAACAGGTTAGCTCATTTGATTGAGCACTTCTGATGTGGCAAGATGATTATGTTGAGGCATCTCCACAAGATCAGAGAAATCTAAATAGATTTGGTTAAAATTCCAGATGGGTTGAGCCCGCGCCAACCCGCGCTAAACAGTTCTATGAGCGGCAGTGGCCTAGTCGAACAGTGGAGTTCTTAGTGTCAAATAAAGCCGTTCATGCCATGCTCTTTGAAATTTTCGCTGAAATACTGGAGGAGATGTCACTGAAATTCCCTATGAACAATGTGGAAGCAAATGACACACCCGGTGCGGGAATCAGCTGTGGGCAGCTTTATCTCAGGCTCTCAGGATGAAAAGAGAATAAGACAAAGTCTAGATTTTTCTGATACCACTCAGCTCTACGTTGCAGAAAGGCAAGAGGAGTCAATTAGCCTCCCACTTGTAACCCTGATCTCGTGCCGACTATCTGTTTCGCTCGGGAACTCTTTCCCTGAAGAGAAACCTTACGCCGACAAACAAGATTTCGAAAGGTACAAAAGTTATGGATTATGGTGATAAATAACACTTTGAACGAATGTGCCAGAGAATTGTAAAGAAAATTGGTTCAAAAAAATTAGCCGGGATTTATAATTATGCAGTGCGTAAACTGAATTCAACATTTACTTTTCAATTGACAAAGGTGAAATGCTCACGAAAAGGAATTCATCAAACAATAATGCCGGAATAAGAAAAACGTTCCTGGGCGTGTCGATCACATGGATCAAGAAGCTAACCTCACAACCAGTTAGCTGAGAATTATCGCACGTATGATAAAACGTGGCTTCATGAATATGAAGGAGGTATGAAGGATGTATGCGACAAGTGACGTTCAGAAGAGAATGATTACCGCTAAGGAAATATCAGTACAATGACAACAGCAGAAGCTCTCAACGGCGGAAATCGCCTGCGAACGTAGCCTCAAGCTCCTCCTTTCGATCCTCAATCTCTTGGCGTTTCTCAGGTGATAGAACCCGACCGAGATAAATGCTGATCGCACGCTGAGCATCACGCTGATTGCCGCCAATTTCTTTGATTACTCGCAACAACTTCTTCATATTCAACCATTCGGCAACCGACAGATATTTATGAACAAATTCCTAAAACGAGGTGAAATTTTTGCGGTCCACATGCGAATCACAAGTCAAAACAGGGGTAAATACAGGGGTAACATAAATGACGCCTTACACCATGGCTTTGCGAACTATGTAATTAAAAGCATTGCTTGGTCCTTCCACGTGATGGCAGCCAGTGTTGACCTACCTTGTTGGCCTTTTGAGGCAATAACCTAATTTTGTGCAGAAGCCTAAGATTTTTTC